CTTAATGCCTACAATCCTTTAGGTCGATATACAACAATCAGGAGTTCAATATATTGTAGATAGCTGCTGCTCCAAGATGCACAGTTGTTTGTCATGCCAGGGGTTCATGCATTGGCCCAAGCAGGCTACTAAGTAAAAAAAATTGGAGTATTTCCTCCAGAGTAATTATTCCATAGGTTTTCGGCACCACCAAAGTTCCAGCTTTGCACAATTATTTCCTAGGACTCACTGAACAATTGGGGGAGGAGGGGGAGTCCAAATTGAGCAAGCAAGGTGGCACGCAGATTCAAAATTTTGGCAACATACGTTTTAAGTTCTTGGAACTTTACACTTTTACTGTAGCCTCAAGGGAACCAAATTTTAACATGGTTAGCAATGCGTAGCTGTTGAACTAATCAGGCAACCTAAAGAAAGCGCAAGGCTAAATACCCTTAGCTGGTGAGTCATGTGAACACAAGACAAAAGGGAGAAAGTGTCTGGCTCGCTTTACTTTATGTTGATAGTGACTGACTCCTTTATCAAGAAGCAGAAAATTAAAAAGGAAGAAAGAACAAAAGTTGTCAAAATACCTGTAAGCACCTACAAGCAAGCATGAGATTAATAGGGCAGTCTGTTAGTTGCAATGAATATTTATCTAAATAATATCTGTAGTTATCTGTTGTTACTGGAGTGTAGCTTTGACTTCTGCTTGGCTTTCCGAAAAGCAAGTGAGCCAAGAAAAGCTCTTGAAAATGTAAAGTTTGTCATCCCTTTCTGAACTGCAACCAGATTAAGATATTTTAAGACATAAACTATAATAGCTCATACAGTTTGTCCAACTCTGGAATTTCAAGTGGATGTATACTCTAGACAAGATGCAAACAATTTATGTAACATAAGTTTTAATAAAAGATATTTAATTGATTGGGAACTGCCCAGAATTGATTATAAGAGGGAGGGAAGAGGGATGGGATAAGTGTGTGGGGGAGGGGATGGAATGGAAGGGAGGGAGGGAGGGAGGGAGGGAGGGAGGGAGGGAGGGAGGGAGGAAGGAAGGAAGGAAGGAAGGAAGGAAGGAAGGAAGGAAGGAAGGAAGGACGTTCACCCTAAACTAATAATATTTTGGAGAAATGGTGTCTCAGAAAGCTCCTTAGTATAATAAGGCTATCTCAATTCAAGGATGGACAACTGATATTACTTGGCTCATTTGCTTCCAAATTATTTCCCCATCCTTCTCTTGCACAAACTTGACCAAACCAATGCTAGATTGTACTAACAGAACAGGATAATAAACACATTATTGTGATCTAGAGAAATAAGGCAAGAAGCATGAATAGGAAGGGAAGACATACAGAAAGTACAATGGGAAACTATTCCAACCCTTCTACTAAATCGTGACCAATAAAATTTGAACAAAAAAGTCAGTAAAAAAGCTAAACTCTATTTATGTGAAGCAGGATGACATCAGAGTTCAACTTCTCTCCATCTGATTGATGAAATGTTTGTTATCTGAACTGACTGAAATAACATCACGGTAAAGTTTTATCAATACCTTTTATTTGAGCCTAGTTCCATTTTTTACTTTTCAAACTACTAGGAAATTGCCCCATGATACTACAACCATGTTCTTCCAAAAAATAATAATAATCAACTGATGCCCAAACTTATATGCTTGCAACTTTCACTTAGAACATGCCATAAAACCTACTGTCTACAATAGTACACTGGCTGGGGGATTCTGGGAGCTGAAGTTCATATATCTTAAAGCTGCCAAAGTCTGAGAAACTGTGGTTTACAACCAAGCCTTTCTATTTGTTTTAAATTTATCAGGTTCATAATTAAATATTTGAAATCAGCCATTTCTTGGTCTATAATATTTCGCCCAATGAATTTGAGGGTTAGAAACTGTAGGCTACCTACCACACATGGTTTAACCAGGGGGTCTCCAACCTTGGCTACTTTTAAGCCTGGCGGACTTCAACTCCCAGAATTTCCCAGCAAAGCAAAGCTGGCTGGGGAATTCTGGGAATTGAAGTCCACCAGGCTTAAAGTTGCCCAAGTTGAAGACCCCTGGTTTAAAAGATCACTGCACTAGCATGGGATTGGAACTAATGACCCCTAAGATCCCTTCTGATTCTTTGATTCCAATTATGGAGAAAGATAGGCAGATCAATAGGCAGGTAGCCATAAATGAAATATAAATCATTTATGAAAGAAAACAACAGGACATTGCTTGTCAACTGTAAGTCACAGCTAAAATTGCTCAGACATACCTGTAGTGCGATTAATCTATCTTAAACAGTAACTTTTTTTGGCACCTTCAAACAATACTTATTCATAGAGAACCACTGAATGTAGCAGGACATTTCCATTTATATCAGCCTCCCAAAGGTCTCTAACTATCAGAGGATGAACTGCTGCTTGCACTTACAGATTTATTCATAACCGAGATGAGATTTATTCATAACTGAGATGAGAGGATGGAAAATCATTTTTCCCTTCCCTTTCACTGGCCTTCTGGTGGGAAAACGAACATTGGATAGAAAGGGAGAAAACCGGAGTGGTTTAGTAAATAACGATGTTGCACTAGAAAGAGGATAAGCCCGTCCTAGTCCATTCTTCATCACTTCACTGCCATTTGACTGTCCAACCTCACTGGTCACTTTGGGACAGTCATTCTCTCTTTTCAAGCTACCCCACAAGGTGGATTTTTATGGTGAGGAAAACAAGAGGCTCCAACCAGCATTTCTGCATGGGCAGCCTTTGGAAATCTATACATGTTTTTGCTACATCCCCACCCCCCCACCCCCCAAAAAAACCCTAAATGATAAGACATTATGCTCCCTTCTTGGTTTTGAACTGTATTTTTTTTTAACTCTGTGAAGAGAAGCAAGATCATCAGTTTTCCAGGTTGGCTATTCACATTCCCAGTTCTCAGTTTAAAGTTTAAACTAATACAGTCCTGGGTTGTATACACAGAGGCATAGAATCAAGATCACATGAAGTATTAGTACCGCTTTATAAAAACCCCAGTAAGGCCAAACCTGGAATACTGCAAACAATGTCGGTCACCATACTACAAAAAAGATATTGAGACTTTGGAAAAAGTTCAGAAAAGAGAAACTAAGATGATCAAAGGCCTGGAGACTAAAACACATGAAGAACGGCTGCAGGTTTTGGGGTTTGGCTAGACTCAAGAAAAGAAGAATTAGGGGTGACATAATAGCAGTATTCCAGTATTCTTTGGCTGCCCCAAAGAAGAGGGGGTGAATTTATTTTCCAAAGCACCAGAGGGCAGGACAAGAAACAATGGATGGAAACTAATCAAGGAGAGAAGCAACCTGGGATTAAGGAGAAACTTCCTAACAGGACTATTAACCAGTGGAACTGCTTGCCTCCAGAAATTGTGGGCGCTCCATCACTGGAAGTTTTTAAGAAGAAACTAGACAGCCACCTATCTGAAATAGTGTACGTTCTCCTGCTTAAGCAGGGGGCTGGACTAGAAGACCTCCAAGGTTCCTTCCAGCTCTACTCTATTCTTCTATTCTCTTTTTCCTGAATGAAGCCAGAGAAACTAATGAAAGAGGAAGATGGGCAAAAAGAACAATAAAAAGACAGAAAAATTAACTGCACAGTTATAACAGAACCCAAAGACAGTCGCTTCCTTTCTCCTTTTTCTCTTTGCTTGTATGTGATAGCACCTTAAGTTAAATAGTGACTCAATTGTGATTGGCAGCCTAAAATTTAATTACAGTGCTCAAAAGCGTATCCTGACATATGTAACATCTGAAACCCTAATTTCAGAAGGATTCTGTAGAGTTAAGTCTTGTATGATCATTATCATATACTCACAGGGATGTCAATCAAAGTACAGGTAGCCCTCCACTAACAACCACTCATTTAGTGATTGTCGAAAGTTACCATGGCACTGGAAAACAGTGACTTATGACCAGTCCTCATGCTTATAACCACTGCAGCATTCCCCACGTGATCAAAATTCAGATGCTTGGCAACCAGCATGTACTTACGATGGTTGCCAGCATCCTGGAGGGGCTCAGATGACTTTCCCAGATTGATTCCAACAAACTTAAGTTAATGGGGGAAGCCAGATTTGCTAAACTAGTGGTCTGCTTAACAACCGTGGCAAAAAAAAAAAGAGTCATAAAATCAACTTTGACTCACTTAACTTGCTTAGCAACAGAAATTCTGGTCACAAGTCAAGTGGTTAAGTTAGGATTATAAGAACTGGTTCAGTTATCATGTAATGTAGGAGGCAATGAGGCAGAGCCTGAGGGAGGGGTCAAATGCATCATCAGTCTGGATGATCCCTACACACACACCCCTTAAAAGATCTAAGTCTGGCCCTTCCCCCCTTGAAGTCCCCCCCCTTATCTGGCGCCAACTTGCCCTGACCGTTAGTAGTTCAGATTCTCATGGATAAGTAGCATGAAGTAAACTTCAAATAAGTCTACCCTGTTTCCTGACTTCCTGCACCTGACATGCACTTTTCACAGAACCGCGGTATACAAGAACAGATATTAATTTATTTTTGAGCCATTAATTTATCAATGTTAGGCAGCTTCTCACTTCATTAAGACCTACATTTTATGTTGAAACAATCCTGTGACTCAAAGCAACAAGAAAACAGACTAGCAAAAATGACGCATTAAACTCTTACTTCACACACTATCATTTTCAGTCACCCATCAATAGACCAACATAACAAGATATACAATGTTTTTCTCACAACAATATTAAAGGTGGATATTTTTTTACAGCTATTTTTCCTACATGATAGCTCCCAGACCTCGACTGTGAAATTCATCCACACGAAAAATAATCGGCATGCAATACCTGTACTGGCTTTTAACACCAAAATTCAGTTAAAGGATTTTCAATAATATTTGCTTGCAATTCATTTCTCACAAAAATTCACTCAGTCTTTTTTCTCTCTTTGAGGGTTGACTGGCAGGAAATGAGTTAAACTCTTTTTAAAAAATAATAATAATCAGATATCCTACCTGATACAGAGACGGTATGTGATCGTATTCCTTGCTTCTCGTTGTTGGCCAGTCTGTAACACAATAATTCAAATATGTGAATGTTCTATATTCCATACTAGTGTTTCTCAACTTTAATAACTTGAAGACAGGAGCACTTCACTTCCTAGAATTCCCCACCCAGCATGGCTAATTGGGGGATTCTGGGAGTTGGAGTCCTCATATCTTCAGGTTGCCAAGGTTGAGAAAAACTGTTCTGTACAGTTCAAAAGCTTGCAGGAGGAGATCTATTCAGTTACCAGATTCACTGTGTCTTCTACAGAACTAAATTTTGCAGGGAAGAAAATGATTCTACTACCTTAAATTCATCTCGGAACCAAAAGTACAAGAATTCATCTGAAAATCTCATTTTAAATTTCACCAGATGTTCAAAATGACAATGTTAAAAGCTGAATGAACAAACAACTTTTAGTTTTAAATTTCTTCTAATTATCTACTATCTAGCAACAACAGTTTGAACTGCATCCATCACTCATATTAAGAAGGGGAAAAAACACTGTCTTTAATTTAAGTGTGTTATCTAGAAGTGTTATATTCTTTAAATATAGAGAAGTTAACCATTTTAAAGATGGTTTTACTACTGGAAAGAACAATTTAGCAAACTTTTAAGGTAATTTCATTGTTTAAAAATTCTCATTTGTAGACATAGGGTGTAACAAGAAAAATATTCATATTTTAATAGATTATGGCTATTATATTTTAATATATGTAATTATATTGTAAGTAGACCACAATTAATTTGGCAAAATGCAATATGCAAGAAGAATGCCATAAATCTGTAATCAGTCTGCAGAAAAGCACTACATTTAGCTGAAGTGACTATGGGTGGATGGATGTACATCTATAAGATAGATCACAGATATAAGTCTATGAGCATTGGTCATATTTTAATGTATTCATTGTATGGATTACTCATATACACTGCACATCCATTTGGATTAAAAAACAGTAAATATAGACTGAAATTATGAATTAAGAAGAGATTGGAATACTCAGTGATATTTGTGGATGGACAGCACTATTATTATTATTTAACTGAGTTTTCTATCCCCCTTATTTTGATTCCTTGAGTTGATACAGTGTAGAAGTACAAGGATACATTTCTTTGAAGGGCTGTCCAGAGTACGCCTCAGCAATAGGCACTGAGTCCTGCCAGCTGCCCAACAGGTATCAGATGCCAATGTTGGCAACAGATAACGTAAAAAACCAGTTAATTTGGTATATAATGCATGTATTTATTAAATTTATATGCTACCCATCTCGCTGCTGCAGTGACTCTGTGTGGCTTACAAAATGCTAAAAAGAATTATAATTAAGAAAGATTAAATAAAAGACCAATAAAAAAAACCAAGAAGACAAGCCACATGGGGGTGGAGATCTTCTCCTTAGCCATCAGCCAACCCCAGCATAAAGCAATGTTGTCGCTTCATGCCAGCCAACAGAACCAGGTTTTAAGGCTCTTCCTGGAAGCCAGGAATAGGGAGGCCAACTTCACCTCTTGTGAAAGAATATTGCAAAGATAAGGAGCCACAGCAGAAAAGGCTCGTCTCTTGGATCCCAGTAGGCAAAATTCTGTGGTAGATGGGATCCGGAGTAGGTCCTCTTCCCCTGGAGTGAGTGGGGTGGGCCAATCCCATTGGGGCGAGATGGCACCTTAGGTGATTGAATTAGGTCTAATTCTGGTTTCCGAAGCAAAATGAAGATATAATGATATCTTTATATACAAATAGTCCTGGGGTTACAACAGTTCATTTAAAGACCGTTCAAAGTTACAATGGCCCTGAAAAAAGTGACTTATGACCATTTTTCACACTTATGACCATTGCAGCATCCTCTTGGCCACATGATTAAAATTTCAGATGCAGCGTCCAGGGATCATGTGATCCCCTTTTGAAACCTTCTGACAAGCAAAGTCAACGGGGAAGCCAGATTCACTTAACAACGTTACTAATTTAACAACTGCAGGGATTCACTAAACAACTGTGGCAAGAAAAGTCGTAAAATGGGGCAAAACTCACTTAACAAATGTTTCACTTAGCAACATAAATTTTGAGCTCAATTGGGGTCCTAAGTCCAGGACTTCCTGTATACACATATAGTTACCTAAAACAATGGAGAATATAAAAATTATACCATATCCATTTGGAATAATACTGCAACCATTCTTATTTTTTTTTTCTTTTTTAGTATTACCTCCTCTATAGAATTGGTTTTCTTGGGTTCTGAAGCAACAGGCATTATCAAGCCATGCTACCAAAATCCTTTTAGCAATAGAAATTGAGCTCAGTATTCAAAGTTCTCTGCGTACAAAGTCTTCATTCTCACACTGAACTATGTTCGGGTCTTCCCTTATAGTCAACATTTGCAATTGATTAGATTTGGAGACTTCAGAGAATACATCAAAATAATAATGTGGTCAGTTTAATGTTTTAAATTTCCAACAAAAATATTCAAACTTACTTTGGTATGGATGGTAAAGCTCTTTCACCTTCTAAATGAAGAAGAAAAACAAGTTTATTGCGACATATCAATAAATACATTCACAAGTATTTTGCTTAAGAGGGGAACACACTAACTTGTATTTGATACATTATTGTGGTTTTGTGATAATTCACACAAAACCCTCTTATGAAGAATGATATAGTACCGTATTAAGCACCATTACGGCCTAAAATGAGCAAAAATGTGTTATATTTTCAGAAAATCAAAACTATAGAGGAAGTTATTGGGCTTTCTAAAGAACCTAAATTTATGTTCGGTAAAAGCAGACGGTATTTCTTTTTCAGATTGCCTTGCTATTATCAAAAGACACGAAGAACCAATATATCAGAAGAAAGGGGAGTTCAAATAAAATATTGAAAAAAAAGCTAACATCAGGCATTTAGTGCAAATTGTGCCTCCTTTAGTTACAATCACCTCTTTGGTCTCAGGGAAGCCAAAATAAATTTTCAGAAATGCCAAAACATGTATGCTGGCACTAATCCCCCCCCCCCCAATCCAAATAAGCATATTTGGGAAATTATTATTCTACTGCATACTTTTTTAAAAAAATTTCCAATGTAAAATGGTCAATAAAAGCATTCTAACATTCCTTTTGTCAAATTTAAAATAAAATCAGAGTTGTTAGTCAAAGTATGTTTTATATGAGGTAAATGGTACACTGATGGAAGTCACTATCCACTCTGGTATAATAGTTAGTAAAGAGTGCTGGATTTCTCACTTTTGTGGAAGAAATGGGGAACTAAAGATGGCTCTGTTAAAAGCAGGCAGGGCCAATGATAGTGGAAGAATGAAGAGCCGTCAGTAGATCAGATCTTCGTAATTTCTCTCTGGATAAGGAGAAGACCTGAGATTGCCCATAAGTGCTCTAGCAACTACTCCTCACAAGAAGACGGCAAGGAGACATAAGGGAATTGTCATCTTTTTGCTTTTCTTATATTAGATTTACAAAAGAGATTTGTTAAAAGCTTTGGAGAATTTTTTGGAAGGCACACAGAAAAAAATGAAAAGAAAGTTCTAGCATATTATTTGACTAAAAATAAAGATTGATAAAAGTCAAAGGTATATAAACCTGGTTTTCTTGATCAAGATTAAAATAGATACGTTATTATCTCTGATTATCTTTAATGGACTTGTGCTGATCAGGACTAAAATGGCAAGGCTTTAAAGATTTCTTTATAGATAAGAGAGGGGCTATGGGAAAAAAGAAATTATTTCTTATATTTTAAGAGAAGCTGATAAATAACTAAATTGTTTATACTTATTCTAATTAGTCATTTTTTAATATATTTTCTTTATTCTTTACCTTTCCTATTTTTTCTGCATTTTCTGTTTTGTTCCTTTTTATTTCTTTATTTTATTGGTTTGTATTAGTTTTTATTTTTCCAACCATAATTTTTAAGACTGGATTTCTAATGACAGGGCTAAAATTATAATCCTTCTTTAATTACTGGGTGAGTTAGAACAATCAGCCTAATTCCTTCCCTATGGTTTCTGTGAAGGAATAAGGGACAGAAGAATCAGTGAATATGCTTCACTAACTCTTTGGAGGAGGAGATTAAAATATAAACATAAAATTATATCTGGGCAATTAATCTCAATATCAAGAGGAAAATTTCCTAGTGAATTGCATATCCATGAACTAAACAAAGGTAGGCAAGTTGTATTATAGGCAGAAAAAAAAAGAAAATTGAGGGCATCAATTGTTATTCAATAAGTGAGTGACCCATAAGTAAGTGTTTTACATTAACAGAATTACTGTATTACAGTTAACTATTAGAATAGCTGTTTTAGTTTGTCTTTATGTAGTCTCTTGCAGAAATTGAACATATTTTTATCTAGTGATATTGTAAGAGAAGAGCTACTATGTTAATCAATAATCAAGACTCTGGTCACACACTTTCAGCCTATTAAATTTTATTTTTTTAAAAAACCATAAGCTTATGTTACGCATCCGAGGAAGCAAGGTATACTTCAGGAAAGTGTTTTAATAATATCTGAAAACATGTTACCAAAATGCTTCTGGCTTTCATCTATTTATATGTCTGATTAGTTACATGTGCAGAGATGCTGCCACTGATTTCTTCTCAATTATAGGACATCCCAGAAAAGGACCACGACAAAAACACTTAAACAAACATTTGCTCTTACCTTTCTGGGATCGGATGATAAAAGACTGTGTCGCCCCCGTGACCAGTCGGCAATAGCCATCTATCAAGTCAGCCATGTTCTCTGCAATGGTTAAGGATGGTGCCGTCACTGTCAGAGGCTACAAGAGAGAGAGAGGAAAAAAATAGCACATTGAACAAAGAGGCCTTATTGCAGACACAAACATTTAGCACAGCTGCTGAACTATTACATCAGAGAAGAGCATGCAAATGAGAAGCAGTAAAGAGAAAAAAAGGACTCATATGTCTGGAAAAAATGGCCAGTTCTTAAGCCTTAAAATCCTCCATCTGGAGGAATTCCCAAAGAGCACATAGCGTGTGAAAAGTGTGGCCATTGAGATTGGTGCCAATTCTAACAGAAGCATAATAATTTTGTTCAGGGAACAGAAGAACCGTTCCAGGTATATGAGAGGAGAGGGCTTCTATGCGCGGATGCCTCCACAGACTTTACACATTTCAAATACGACATCATCTATCTCCAGTCTACAACACAGTCCTTTCAGCAGTTCCAAGGAGGCTCCACACCCTGAGGTGACTCTGAGGACACAGATAAACCTCCAAGTGGCCTCAACGACCCTCTAAAAGGATGCAAATAACCAGCTTTGTCTGAAAGAAGTATAAATCCTTCCATTCCTCTCCATCCAGTCAGAGCTGAAGAGCTTTCTTGGCTGAGAAGCAAAATGTCTTCAAAGAAAAACAAGAAAGTCCAGTTGCCTCTTGAGAAAAACAACTTTGGGACAACCATGACTTGGATATGACTGAGAAACGTTTTCATTATAGTTACCAAATCGGTCTTTGTTAACTACACACTTCCAAGCAGTGTGTGAAAAATAATGTACTGACAAGTATCCAAAAGGGACAGTGGTTTTAAATTCCATATGTCATCATGAATGATTGCAAAAATAATAGCACCAATGGTCAGCAGAGGTATGTAATCCATTAATCCTGACAGGAATGTTGTAATTTCTACGATTCATTTTTCTATTCTCCAGTAAATGTAAAACCTTATCAGGAAATTACTAGATAGCATCTTTCATAGTTAAAAACCAGAAATATTTTTGTCTCTGGTTAAAGACGCCTCTGAGATTAATCTCTTATACAAAAAGTTATTTTTTTTATATCCTATGCTTTTATAATATGAAATGGGGACAGCTACACCTACCTTTATTAATAAAACATGCAGAAGGAATTTGCTTGCTCTTCCTGCCTGCCCAGAAGAAACATCCACCAACTTACCTCTGGTGCTCCAGCGATTTTCATCTGTAGCATTCCTTTTCTGTCCTTGTCTTCATTAGTTGAATACTGAATGGTCTGTACTTGATGGAAATCTGCCAAATGGGTAGGCTAGAGAAAAACGGAAGGAAAATATGAGGAGGAAGAACCGGTGTAGATGCAAATTCTGTCAGACACAAAATACAGGCTGCACAAGTAAATTCTATTTTTCTGGGTACTCCGGTACTTTACTACCCTCCATTGTTATTCATGCCCTGTGTCCATCTTATGTACTACTAAAGGGGCAGAAGAAACAATAGTTGGCAACAGTTTGCCTGATCAGAAGGCTGTTTAGTGACAGTAATATTGGCTAGGAGTCCACATGAAAGCTGACCATAAACCTACAAGGGAATACAAATATTGCATTTTGGGGATTTGATCAGCTTCCAATACTTAAAGCACCTTAATGGCAAAGGTAAAGGCTTCCCCTGTCCAGTCATGTCGAAATCTAGTGGGTGGTGTTCATCTCTGTTTCTTGGCTGAGGGAGCCCGTGTTGTCCGAAGACATTTTCCATGGTGGTGCAGCCAGCATAGTTATACCCCAAAGGCACACAGCATGCTATACCTTCCCACTGAAGGGTAACCTATTTATCTACTTGCATTTTCATGCCTTCGAGCTATGACAACTCAGGGGTATCAAACTCACAGTGTCACATTGTCATCACATGACGTATCGTGACTTCCCCCCCCCCTTCATTAAACCGGGGTGGGCGTGGTGAGTGTATGACACATCCGGCCCGCAGGCTGCAAGTTTAACACACCTGTATTTAATATTTAGCTATTTGCATTTTCATGCTTCAAGCTCTATGGCATCTACTTATCTACTTGCATTTTCATGCTTTTGAGCTATGTGATACCTATTTATCTACTTTTTATTTTTATGTGAGCTACTAAGTGAGCCAGAGCTGGGGCAAGTAATGGGAGCTCACCCTGTTGGCCAGAGTTCAGGTCTCAAACCCAGGCTATCTGCTTTCCAGCTGACAAGCTCAGAGTCTTTAACTGCTGAGCCATCGCAGTTAAATCTAAGTAACGTGTTACCAACTCCCGCCCCCATAAAATACAAAATTCAACCTCTCAAACAAGATGAAAAGGAATACACCAAAAGTGCAAAAATGCATGAACTATAAAACAAGTGACAGTAAATTAGAAGTAAAGCTAAAAACCATACTGAATGAATAACCTCATGAATTGAAGAAAAAAGAAAAAGCAGTATCAACCAAGGTACTACTTCTTTTCTGGACTTAGGTCCATGTGTTTTGTTCACAGGTTTCTTTGTATCCTGATAAAAAAAATGAACTTCCTTAAAAACACTGGACAGGTTCCCACACAAAATAATGGCAAATGTGAAAGTCTGCCTAGATATGAATCCATCATATCCCATGGTAAGACTTACATTGGAGCCTTTGTCTGTAAGGTAGCTGATACCTTCTTCTGGACCGATGGCCAATTCCACTGAAATAATCCAGCTGGACTTTTATGATTAATATGGAAAAGAAACAGTGAATATTTGGAAAGAAAATGTTTGAACAATGAATAAAAATCTTTATTATCACTCAATGAAACAAATTGATATAGACTAATAAATTACATTTCAAACACTGGATAGACCTTAATAGAGTACACTTATGTTAGCCTTTCACAAGAGAGTGATTTCCCATACATTTGGGCCAGAAGCTCTGAAGATGATGTGTTTTCAGTCACTAAGATTCATGCTTCAACCTTGGGCAAATGATGTTGTGGTTTGTATTTGTAGATGTTGTGGTTTGTATTTTTAATCTTGTAACACACCCAGATCCACTATTGTAAGATCGGCAACAATAGAAATACTTTAATCTTTAGGAACTGCTCCATTTTAAAAGCAGAAGGCACAAATGCTTCAATGGTCATTACAACAACTGTGCCATACATGGGACTGGTCATCACACATATTTTCAAAATTAAAGTCCTCTAATAGGAAGCAAAAACACAACAGCTGAGATAAAGTTAACTATTTCCCACTAATGTTACCCTACTAGCTAGCATTTAAATTGCACTTATACATAATGACCATTTTAAAATAATTCCACATCTCCATAACCTTGCAATCCTCTAATCTAATTAGCAATTCCTAACTCCCAATCTGTCAGAAATGTAGAAGAATTAAACAATTCAAAAATAAATACATCACATCATCCACAGATAAAGAAAATTTAGTAGCATCTTAAACAAAGAACCAGCCCATCTGTCTTTTGTCTAGATAAGCTAACAATAAAGTGCTCAATTCAACAATTAGAATAATTATTCTATGCCATGTCCCAGTAGTTGAAAGCAATATACTTACTCCAAGGGCACACTTGAAGCATTCCTTATCGAATCGATATACTGGTGAGAGAATCTCAAAGAATTTCAAAATACTTTCTTCTCTATTGAGGTTGGCAAATTGTCGAAATGTTTGCTGTATCATTTTTCGAAGGTTTTTGGCCTTGATAATGAAATAGTCAGATGTTAGTATGCACCACATCCAAGCCACATAGTACCCACATGGTTCCACCTAGCCTAGGAATTAATAGAAAGCACTGGATACAATACCAGATATCTTTGGTTCCATTTTTGAGATTTTAAGCCATTAGGAAAAAAACCTCTCTCATTTGTGAGAAATGTCATATATATGGATGAATCAAAATACATACTTGGAGATAGCCAAAAATAACATGATCAAAACTCAGGGTCCAGTAATTTATAATGTATGAGCAGAATGCAACATTACCTTTACTGAATCCAGTAAACTCTTTGGAAAAAATCTTCTTAAACCGACATCTTTCCTGAAATAAGCAAAGCAAAAATCAGGGATGCATGAAAAATGTTGTGCATTTTAACCATGTGAAATAATAGCACAGTATATTTTAGAAGAATTGTTGTGTCAGAAGATAAATACAGGTGCCAATATTCAATCAAATTCATTTTTTTAAAAGCACTGTTATTCCCACAAAACATTGAGTGTGCCCTGCCTTCCCACCTCATCTCTCAGATCTTCAACCAGCCCTTCTCTAGACCAGTCAATCAGGGCCAAGTCATTCCATCCTTACATCTGTTACAAGTGATTTAAAATCTAGAATATATGCCCTTATTCTCTCCTCTCCCAATTTAACATTCTGGATCACATTATGATTCTTGATTCTTAACGAATGTACCTTTTCTTTATGTATACTGAGAGTATTTACAGCAAGACAAATTCCTTGTGTGTCCAATCACACTTGGCCAATAAAGTATTCTATTCTATTCTATTCTATTCTATTCTATTCTATTCTATTCTATTCTATCACCTGGTTAGTGGTAATTCTTTGTACTAGAGCCACAAAGTATCCCTTGAAGTTATAAATGCAGTCTTCAGATAACAAATAACAGATAATCAGAGTTGCTAGGTCATCTAGTCCAACCCCTCGCCCAAGCGGGAGGCCCTACACCATTTCTGACAAATGGCAGTCCAATCTCTTCTTGGAAGTCTCAAATGATGGTGCTCCCACAACTTCCGAGGGCAAGGTGTTCAAGTCAGTCATGATGTATAATGACTTCCTGCTCACCACAAAAGCTTTAGCAATGGACCCCTTTAAATTCCAGGAAACTTTGTAATGGTACCAATTCACTAAAGCCAACTAAAAGAAAACTGTTCTTTAATGGCCATAGCAAAACAAGTCCTTTTTGTGGGACTGGATGCAAAGCGCCTCAAGACCTTTGGTGAAATGTGGTTAGAACTCTATTCTGCAAGCCATGCCAATGACTTTTTAAGCCCATGCTGGGCAGTTTGTTCTGCTAACGGCATTCTAGGTTAGGACAGGGAGGGCAGGTTTGGAGAGACAAAGCCATAGACTGTAAATTTCTAGGAGTTAATCAATAATTAAACACTTGGCATAATTTAGTCCCATGGCTGATTAATCACATACTGAGAAACCATTTTGTAAAAAGGGCTTCTAACCAGCTGATCCCACAAGTATTAACAGAATGCAGATGACCCCCGCCCCCAAAGGATAATCTTGTGTATCACCAGATTCAGCCTATGAATCACCCAATTTGTCTTGGTCAGGCCAGAATCAATGAGCTCTTATTTCCTCAATAAGCTGACAGGTCAAAAATTTACTAGGTTTTACAAATTCTCATCGTACCTTAATTAGAACAATAATGGCAACCTTTGCATTCTTACTTCCAAGAGCAACAATTATGTTCCTTCCAATGGAAAGAATTGCTGACAAAAATGCAACCACATACTTACTCTAAGACTTCATAGTTCGACTTCTTATCCAATGCGTTGCCTCTCATTTCACAGTAGGATCTCCTGAAATTATAAAAAAAGGGCAGTTCTCTTAAATGCTAAGCCAAACTGTCTCGATTTCAAATCTGATGTTAATTATATTTCAGCTTTTACCTGTTATTTCTGAAAGCTTCCTTGAGTGCTTATACAATCAGAAAGGTGGGGTAAAATTTAATTTATTTACTTACTTACCTAGGAAATTCCAAACTAAATCATAGATGAGTGGGAACACTAAGAAACATGCCTAATAAGAGCCCTGTGTTGTTGGACTAAACATACAGGAAATCAATCATTATAAAGTTTTTAAAACTTCATGCAGATTTCTGAAAGTCAAACTGGAGAGGTATTACACATCCCAGTGACTGAAGATTTTTTTTAAAAGTATAACATCTTAAAATTATAGTCGTAATACATGTAGAGATATAAAAACCAGAATAAATTCTGTTCCTATCTTGTGATGCCAGATTATGGATATCCACTCTAATGTTTTTAAAGTGATGGGTGATGGATAAAGAGTGATGCGAAGGGCTTGTGAAGCATTCAACCTGAAAGGTTACAGAGATGCAGATGTCATTTAATTGATATATTTTAGGTGATATGAAATATTCATTGGGAAAAGAAGCGAAAATGGTGGCCCTATATTCTTAAAGCTGCAGTCTCTAACTATGCTGAGTTCTGTTGTAGTAAATCTCACTGACAATTTATACTTCCCACTAAGCTATTTCTGGCCAGGTATAAAGGATTTTTGTGCCTGGAACTTATTTCTTCCAATTCCTTCATTCTACTGTTCCTCTGACCACACAGCCAAGCTCTGTTCCAGCTCTGGCAGAAAAGGTCCTTCTTCTAAAGTGCTCAAGACCATCTGGGAATCACTGACTGAAGGATTTTAAGAGATCAAATTTTGGGTTATCACTACCGTCTTCCCTAGACCCTTATTGTGTATAACTCTAAAAATTCAATTCTAAAAATTCCTACCAATATTCAGTAGTTGTTGGTATATATACTTGGAATGCACCATTATTTTAAGACTTTAACTCCAAACTGCAATTCTGCCTCTCCTTCCTATCCTATTTTTTTTCTGTTGCTTGTTTTTCTCCTAAATTCGTAGGAATTGCTGCTTTCCTAGCCTTATTGTACAAGACAGACAAAGAAGCTTTCAAGAATAGCCTGGACTGCCATCTGTCAGAAATGGTGTAGGGTCTCCCGCTCGGGCAGGGGGTTGGACTAGATGACCTACAAAGTCCCTTCCAACTCCGTTAATCTGTTAATGCGTAAAATTGTTTATACAAGAGAAAATTGTTTTCCTATTAAGCTGTGGCCTTTCACATTTATAGCGAGAAAAATCTACAACTTGGTAGCTTTAGTAAGTCACTGCACAGTACTATGGTACACAAAATCTCTTTTGAACAGTTTAAGCTTGGAAAGATGATGGAAAAAGCGATGAAATTCAAAAAATCTCCCCTTTTTAGGAAACACTTCCTGGTCAAAGACAATTGACCAATTTTTCTTAGGTTCAGAGGTGTTCTATTTCTTGTAATAAGCAATTTCAAATGTTCTTGAACTTACTTTTCCTAATCTTTTGCCTTGCAAAACTATTTCATTAAACAATTATGAAACATTGGGCTGAAAGTTACTACAGGAAGTAGAAACAAATTATTATTTAAAGATTAGCCAGAATCTTTACCATTTTCATGAATTAAGGTCAACTCACAATATTAATGTAATAAACACAGCTGGTTAAACAAACCTGCAAACAACTGCTTTGCTTAAAAGTTACTTAATTGTAGGTTTGAATGGAATAGATATAGCATAACATTACTTTTTATAAAACAATCCAAATTTTAAATTTCTACTGTTCATGCCACAATAAATTTTGAAGTTTCTGCTTAAACATACTGATGAAGACATTAAGATTAAAGCTAAGTTGTTCTATTTAGTAATAAATATTTAAAAGGTGATCTTACCGGATTTCAAGGCAACCTAGCTTCAAGGCAATTTCCTGGTCCACCTGATCTGCTATCTCTAGCATATAGTCATTTTTCACCTAGAGCAAAGCAAGCAGAGATAGGCCATAAATAAAAGTCAACTACCAGAATTATTTCAAATACATTCAAAGGTCAGACGCAATCATCTGACATTTTTTTCCAAGTAGATTACAATCTGTGCAGGATTCAGATCATGTTCAAGCAATTCCTTCCATGACTCTCCAAACTGTTGAGTCCAACTCAGCTGGAGTCTAACTCAGAGCAATTTTAACCCTTAGTTGCTAGAAACAATCTTCACAGTGACCTTGAAGATACTTCCCCGGCCCCTCCTGGCCTAGTAGAAATTAGGTTTCCCCTAATTTCTTCAGAGAGCACAATAAGCTCTCTGAGCTTAGGGTGTGAAATAAAGGTGTGAAATAATCACAATTTGCTGGGGTTTTTGCTATAAGGTAAGCCCTAATCAAGCATCTTCTATCCAATTATGTTTGCTCCAGCGGCACTGCAGCTGACTTTTCTGTCGCTTCATCCTCTATAAATCAGGGGGCACTCTAGGGACTGCAGGCAGTGAAAGTCCACCTCAGGCCCAATCAGATCTAAAGTCACTGCTGCTTTGTTCCAAGCATCCAAGAGCTCAGGAACAACCGTGAACCAAGCCGTGAGCCAAGCCGCAAGAACAACCACAAGCTTCCTTTGAAACCCAATTGGGACCATTAAATGCCTATGGAAAACCACAGGGGTTGGTCTAGCTCCCCTGGGGAGTGTGAGGATACATTAGTAAGCTCCAGAGGTCAACAGGAAGTAGCAGGGAGTACTACTAGACAAGGGTTAATGATAATATCCTCCGATTGGATAGATCACATTACCACTGCCCTGAAACCTAGGTATATGCAATCCTCCCATCTACCCCACAGTAAGCTGAGTCATCATGGCAGCCATGAATTTCTAGATTGCCTTCAAGTCCATACCCAGGGAAAGTGGACTGAAGCCCCCACAGAACCGTAACCCTGGAGACCTTTCACCATCCACCCAAACAGAATTCTTTATTGGCCACGTGTGATTACACACACAGAGGAATTTGTTTACGGTATATAAGCTTTCAGTGTACATACAACAATAGTGATAAGCAACGTAGTCATAAGAAGATAAGGAGACAGGTAATAGAAAGACGAGAATAATGATGGCAATACTGCCTTTCTCGATAGTTTGACAGAGTTGTGGGAATTAGTTGTTTAACAGACTGATGGCATGGGGGGGGGGGGGAGACTGTCCTTGTGTCTAGTTGTTCTGGTGTGCAATGCTCTATAACGTCAAACTTGAAACAGGATGTGAGGGGTCTGTAAATATTTTCACAGCCCTTTTTTTGCAGTATACAGGTCCTCGATTGAAGGCAGGTTGGAAGGAATTGTTTTTTTCTACAGTTCTAATTATCCGTTGAAGTCTGTGTCTATCTTGTTTGGTTGCAGAGCCAAGCCAGACAGTTACAGAGCTACAGATGACAGAGTATTAATGAAATATGGCAGTAAACAGATGTGGTAAGGATGCTGAAGGAAGGTACTACACAAAAGGGAGGTTTGTACAGAAGCAGGAATCCCAATTGATCTCTGACCCAAATCTCACAAGTAGGGACCCACATTCACTCATACTTGTTAGGGCAGCACCCTAACAATCCTCAGTCTCCAGAACAATGGCACTCCACGACTAGAGTGGTGGCTGGTGCCCAATCTGAAACTTTCTAGGCACGCACCCATCATGTGCCCAGCCAGGTCTAAGCAACACATGCCAGGGCAGCTCTCTCACCCACAATTAAGTTTTGAAAATTAAATTTTCAGGAAGAGATTGAATAGACATTTGTCCAGAATGGTATGGATCTCCTGCTTGAGCAAAGGCTTGGACTACAACAATGGTTCTCAACCTTTTCTTCCTCACAGATGCCCTTGAAAAAGCTTCTGTGGCCATGGAGCGTGACCATGGACCACCAAGAATTAACTCAAGATTTAAAACACAACATTTCTTCAAGCCTTTGTGTACTCCCTGGGGCAACATCGCAGCCCCCCAGGGGCCTGCGGACCACAGGTTGAGGACCACTGGATTAGAAAACCTTCAACATTCCTTCCAACCCTTTTATTATATGGTCTATGTTCTAAATTTTGAGCTAAGCTTCATGAAAGACTGACCAAGTACATCGAGGCCTGTTTCAAGGATATAAGATGCTTAAAAACATATGTGGCATTATTCTTTTCTAAAAAAAAGTAATATTCAGAAATATTCATATTTAGCCAGATCTAATTTCTAAAGTCATGCAAATCTGCACCCAAATCTAAATATTCATTATGAGAAGCACCCCTTGAAATTCTGAAAGGACTATAGCTTAAAAACCTACTATAAAATACAATGCTTAAATTTTTAACCTTTTTTCATCAACGAAGAGTCCTTGTACTATTTTTAAGTAGCCATTTCCTTAAATATCACACACCCTGCATTGGATTGATGATAGGAGTAAAACCTGTAGATTTCAATCATTCAAAAAGCAAGCTAATCAATTTCATGCCTTCTTCTGAATTGCTACGAATTTATTGTTCTATGAAATCACCATTAATTCTGAAAGCGTAGAAAGTTATTCACCACATTTCTCCCTCGGCCTTCCCTCCCCCCCTCAAGTTTCGTGAGGAGATGAATAATTGAACAAAATATGTGTGCCTCCGATAAAACCAACCAACACTGCTTTTCTTCATGGCACTTTCAAAATATTATTTGTCTTACAGTAGTAACAATCGGCCATCTGCCTTCAATTGCTTCATCGCCAAGGTCACAGTTTTCACATTAAGACAAGCTGATCTTTGACATTTTTCCTTAATTACAGGCGTCACACAATAGTAAGGATGTTAATGACTAGGGACAGGAATTGATTGCTGACAGGCACTGTGCAACGCAAAATGACTTTAAAATTATCCTTCCCCCCCTCCCCCCGAGAAATCCCAGCTGCCTCTGTTCTCCCACTCAAGTTGTTGTCAAACTCAGAATGCCACATGGGAGGACCAAATAAGATACACGTTCATAATCTTCAGTTCTGTATTATTCCTGGAAGCACGAATGAAGGCAAATATACATGTCCCAGAATAAAGATGAAATTTTGGATTGGTCACCGAGACCAGAGATGTACTCTTCTGAGGTTTCGGACTCATGCGAAAGCTCATCTTCCATTTCGCAGCAACTCAGATTGTTGGCCGTGCAGGTACAAAAACAGCCAGGGAAATTATTGAAGTCTAGGACAGTGGTCGCCAACCACTGGGCCGGGGATCACTGGTGGTCCGCGACAAAATTTTGGTGGTCCACAGAGAAACGTCACCCCCAAAACACACCCCAAAGCAATTAATCCAGGCTGCGCAGGAACACATGGCTGCGCCGCCCACATGGCCAACAGAAAAACAAGGCTTGCGTCGCTTGCATTACGAACAACACGAGGTAGTGAGGGGAGGGAGGAATTTGCCTCACGTGCCTCGCCTGGCCACCGGGCTGTTTCTTTCCACTTCTTTCTTCTGCTTTTGGCTGCATGCAAGGAAAGCAGCAAAGTCTTTCTTTCTCTCCTCCAAACTCTGCCAGAAATGAGTCTTTGGGACCCTGCAAGGCATCCTGCTCCAAAAAGGCTGTGCCGGTGTGACAAGTTTCACAAAGACTCATTTCTGGTGCCATTTGGAGGAAAGAAAGAAAGACTTCTGCTGCTTCTGCTGCTTTCCTTGCATGAAGCCAAAAGTCTCAATCTCTCTCTCTCCCCCTGAGAATGGAGTTGGAGATGGTATCCTGCGATCCCAAATAAACAACGATCGATTGGAAGGAAAAAGGGGTGGGGGATTTTCCTGCAGGCTTTTTGGGGGATTTTCCCAGAGTCTCTGGTCCGCAGGACTTAAAACTATGAGTTTGGTGCTCCCTGAGGTCCAAAAGGTTGGCAACCCCTGGTCTAGGAAACAGGCCCCTTGTTGGTTAAAAGGGGTGCTGATTTACCCCCAGCCTATCTAATAGTTAGGAGCCGAGGGTTTGGCAGCACAAGGAAATGACAGCCAATCGCCAGCCATCAACACACCAATCAGCCAATAGGAAGGCACCATGGAAACACGATTCATAGAATAGCCCAAAGCATGTATTCCAGTAAAGAGTTCCCTGAGGATGGGCTCCAGCAAGAGTCCGAAAGCTCGGAAGAGTAAACCTCTGGTTCCGGTGACCGACCCAAATTTGATTTCACATTCCTATAAGCCACCAGTATGATTCTTACCATTTTCTCACAACATTTCCCTGTACGTTTAGCTCAAGAAGGAAATCATATACAGGCAATCCTCGACTTAAATTCATTTAGTGACCGTTCGACATTACAATGGTACTGAAAAACAAGTGACATGACCACTTTTCACAGTTATGACCATAGGAGCATCCCCATGGTCATAGAATCAAATTTTGGACGCTTGGCAACTGACTCCTATTTATGACAGTTGCAGTGTCCCGGGGTCATGTGATCAACTTTTATGACTCTTTTGACAAGCAAAGTCAGTGAGGAAGCAAATTGAGACCCTGATAGAATGGGGCTCAAATCCATAGCTGAGCAGCAGTCTAAAGATCGTAATAGGTCACCTAGGTTTAAATACTAGAACAAGTAAAAGAACAGTCTAAAATCACAATAAATAGAGCGCTGGAATAATCAAGAAACGGGTATTTACCATTCATCCATACAAAAATAAAATAAAATAAAATAAAGTATTCTTCAAACCAGTAATAAAGTGTCAAACAAAAATATTTTAGAACATTGTACAGCTACTCAGGCTTTGAAAATGCAAGCTTTGGATTTTGCCCAAATGTAATACTGTATATCTCTGCTATCCATTAAATTGGGCATTTTTTTCCAGGCTTCCACACAAGACTCAGAAAAAGGTGTTAATGCTTTAAGAACTGGATCACAGAAAGCAGTGGTATCTTTCCCCCCACACACACAGTTGCAGAAAAATCTTTTAAAAATCAGATTAATCAGAATTTACTCCATACTTTGTCTGTACAGCATGTACTTTTCTTAACTATCCTGGCATTGTCAATTTAGTTTTGGGTGTTTTGAATATTTGAATACCAATTCTCTTATGGTTAATGACCGCAATAAAGTTAAGTAAGTATTTTTCCTGAATTATTACTGAAGTTTTCACAGCTTTAAAATTTATAACATTGCAACATCTGGGGAAAAAATGGATAACATTACACAACAAATGTCTGGAAAATTTGAAGAATTCACCCAAAGTATAAAACTTGAATTCTGGAAGATTCTGAAATAATTAATCAGTTAGTACACTGAAATATCAAGCCTAACAATCCCCTTTTCTCTAAAAATTATTCTTTCAAATAAAATGTTTTTTACTAAAAGTATTATATATGTTGATACACTTTCCTTACATGAGCAAAATATATTTTCCATTCTTAAAAAATATTTTCAAAACCTATTACATTTTTTTTTCTGTTTGCTTTTACCTGCTGGTATAAAAAATTTAACGTTGGCTTATCTTCAATAAACTGGTTCAGAAATCCTTTCGGTAAGTATCGAATCCGCAATTCATATCTAGAACAAAGGAAAAGAGAATTTAGTACCGTTGCCTTTTAAATATTACAGCAACTCTCCAATATTAGAAAAAAACCAGAAAACTGCTCTATAACACCTTGTTAATAAAAACAAGCTATTGATTAATATTTCAACTGATTTTCACACTTGGTATTTGCTACTGTATTTACAGTACAGATGGTTCTCAACTTACAACCACACTTGAGCCCAAAATTTCCGTTGCTAAGCACGGCAAAGTTGTTAAATGAGTTTTGCCCCATTTTATGACCTTTCTGGGCCACAACTGTTAAGTGAATCACGAGTGTTATTTGGTTGTTAGGCCAATCTGGCTGCCCCATTGAGTCTGCTTGTCAGAAAGTCGCCAAAGGGGATCGATCACATGACCCCGGGACATTGCAAGCATCATATAAATATGAGTCAGTTGTCAAGTGTCTGAATTTTGATTAGGCGATCACGGGGAGGCTGCAACAATTGTAAATGTGAAAAACGGTCCTAATTCACTTTTTTCGGTGCCGCTGTGGCTTTGAACAGGCGCTAAACGAATGGCTGTTAAGTTAAGGACAACTGGTACATGCAATAATGAACAATGGAAAAGAAAACTCATGTAAGAGTCCTAAAATTGACTCTAACTACATGAATTGCTTCCAAGTTCCATCACAAGTGGCTTTCAAAGGCTTCCATTATTTGGAAGGCTTTTTGAGCCTTTTTACTTCATCTCTTTGTGCCCCCTTTAGTACTAAATCGCCTCTGAAGATTAAGAGACTTTGGAACAACATCTAATACCTTCTAAGAGATAGCTTCGGGAGGTATTCTATTATTTTTTTCCCCTATGCAAAAAGCCAACCAATCTGGTAAAGTGGGCAAAGCTGCTTACGTAACTCAATAATAGAAGGCCGGATTTCCCTCCAAAGTGCTTTAGAAATCAATACAGGTATTTCGAGAGCAATATGTTGACAAAACCAGAGCATCATCATGACAATCCTGTTGTATAAAGAACTCACCAGGAACAGTCAGTAAACCCAGATATGTGACTGTGGGATGGAGTGACCGAAGCCATGAAATTTCCCATAATTAGTCCATCACAATAATTAGCATTTGGATAAAAGCTTCCATTGGTAAATCTCCCAAATGCCAGTCATGGGGAGAGGGAAGGTTTTTCTCTCTCCTATCTACATCCACACCTGTTCTTTCTACTACAGGGAATCCTCAACTTACAACCGTTCGTTTAGTTCTTCTGGTTTAGTTGTAAAAGGAAGGAATTCACTCACTCAGTTTTTCCAATGATGAGGCCCTGAGAAAGCCTTTCTTTGCAACCTAGTCAATGGCCTACAGAAAAGGTCCCAAAGAACAATAACTTTGATCACGAGACACTACAGCTTTTCTTTCTATTAAGCTGTTGCTTGAGAGCTTCAGCGGGGAACTCTGATGTTTCCTATATTTGTATTCTGGACCATAGTAGCAATTTTCCATATCCATGACATCCATTATTTATGATTTGTTATCCTTCAGAACTGTCCTTCCATTAAGTCAGGATATGTATGTCTATCAATTGCCAATTTCACTTTTAAAATAACTGTTGGGACACCCTAAATGCCAGAATGACGATTTATTAGTTCTAACTGAGTTAGGACAACGCATACACATTTGTATAACACCTGCTAACAATGCCACAGAGATGTCCACATGAGAAATATGGCATACCTGTGTGTACTTAAGAGCCCATCTTGATTCTTGGCAACTCCCTGGACTCGCCCCTGACATTTTCTTGGCAAGGTTTCAAAAGAGATCTGCAATTGCCCAGTTTCTAGGGCTGGCTCAAAGTCACTCGGCTGGCTTTGCACTTCAGGTGAAACTAGAACTCCCAGTCTCCTGGAGATTGGCCCAAAGCCACCCAGCCAGCTTTCATGCCGAAGGCAGGACTACAATTCAGTGTCCTGGTGATTGATCCAAACTCACCCAGCTGCCTTTCAAGCCTACAACAGGACTAGAACTAAGTCTCCTGATCAACACACTATAAAAAAGATGTTGAGACGCTAGAACAATGATGGCTAACCTTTTTGGTGTCGCGTGCCAAAAGTGTGCATGCGTGCCTGCACCCATAATGCATTGCACGCGTGCACCCCATGCATGCACGCACGACTCCCCCAGGCTCCCCACACCCTCTGCGCATGCTTACACAACACTCCCACGCTCCCCACACCCTGTGCATGTGTGCGCAACACTTGCCTATGCGCATGCGCGTGTGTCTCCTGCATACGCCCTGCCCCTCACGCATGGGGGGCAGATAGCCGACAATCAGCTGGCTGGCAGGAGGCGCGTGCGTATGCGCAGTGGGCCTAATCTGGGGCAATGGCTCGTGTGCTTCTGGCATGCGTGCCATAGGTTTGCCACCACAGCTCTAAAAAGAGTGCAGAGAAGAGCAACCAGGATGATGAGGGGACTGGAGACTAAAACATACGATGAACTGTTGCAGGAACTGGGCCTGGCTAGTCTAGTGAAGAGGAGAACCAGGGGAGACATGATAACAATGTTCCAATATTTGAGTGGCTGGCACAGAGGAGGAGGTCAAGCTATTTTCCAAAGCACCTGAAGGCCAGATGAGGAATAATGGATAGAAACTGATTAAGGAGGGATTCAACCTGGAAATAAAGAGAAATTTTCTGACAGAACAATTAATCAATTGAACAGAAGTTGCCTTCAGAAGTTATGGGCGCTTCATCATTGGAAGATTTCAAGGAGAGATTGAACTGCCATCTGTCAGAAATGGTACAGGGTCTCCTGCTTCGGCAGGGAGTTGGACTAGATGACCTACAAGGTCCCTTCCAACTCTGTTAATCTGTATAATCCTGGTTTCCAGAAATGTACCTTACCCACTATGTTGTTGATAAACTTTAATGAACTGAACAACCTTCATAAATCACTCTGTAAACTCGTTGGTATACTGTACTTCCTAAAGTTCGCACATTAACATTCTGCTAACACCAGTAGAGATCCGATTGCGAAAAATAGGAGACAGAGATGGTGCACTTATATATTTCTCCAGAGAAGTCTCTCTCTACATATAAAAAGGGAAATATTAACTAGATATGGCCAGAAAGCAGCTATTATTAGCCTGTTTCTTGTGTGTGTATCTAAGCCTGATGTTCATTCCAACATACTACAAATCACGGCAACTGTCTTCTAGCTAACTGTGGAAAAGAAACTGAAAAAGTATTCATAAATACCAGAAATAAGCCATCACATTTCCTGATTCTTGCTGGCATTACTAAGCCTCTTTTTATATGTTTTTAAGATTTCTTCTTTTAAAGAATGTTAAAGCCGTTCAGACAAGAATTCCAGTTAATATATGATTAGAATGCAGCAAAGCATTAAATTGAAACACTCTTCCCGAATTCCATTTTTTTAAATGCTAATTTAAAACTTTTACATGTGCTGTCATTTGATCCCAAATGCTTGCTTTACGGTATTAAGAAAAACCTGACAGCAACTTATACGTTATCCCCCATTTTAAGACAGCAAGGCAGGCTGCATAGTTTTGATAAAGCACGAAGTGACACACTGGAAATATTCTGAATAATTTAACTCCACCATCGCCACTCTCAGTGCTTTCATAAGGGATTTTGTAGGACCTGATCACCTGAACATCAGATATAACAGGATTGTTAAATAAATGCCTCCATTCCATAATGCATTAAGATTTGGGGGCACCAGGGAATGCTTAGATGAAACTGTGTATTTTTATATTTTATAGCTATTTTTTTAACAAAAACTTATGACCTTGAAAAAAATAATAGATATATTGATATATTTAATACGTTCAAGATATTCAATATTCAGAGGGGAGGCTGCATTTTTTTCTCTCCACAACTTACACTCCAGATAAGTGTAGAGAGTGTTATTTCAGAGGGCTTTAATTCTCAATCTATGACCCCTGTTCCGAAAGGCAGACAAAGCCAGAACATGTGGCCATGTACTACTTGTAAAGTACATAATCTCTGAATAAATAAATCACCATATTAAGCTTAAAGAACGTGCATGCTCTATTCCAGAAGACAATCCACAAGATGGCACACACGATCACATTAAAAAAAAAAATAAAGTTAGAAACACATGACAACAGCTTAAGATAGACAGACGTCTGGGTGTTTGCAGAAAACAATTACTAGCTAGTCTTCTTGCTTTACTCCCTGATTTCTCTCTTCGTCTTATTCCTTCCACTGCTCTTCATTCCACTCATGGACTTCCACATATTAGAAACCATTCCTCTTTGCCTTGTGGGCAAGATTAATGCAAAGCAGATAAGCAGGACCATTTTTCCTGCTGTCAACTGCTTGGAACAGCAGATAAGCCATTTGGGACAGACCTTTCATCACAACTTTGTATTCAATTGAGACTGCCAGCCACTCCCCTTACTCTTGCTGTTTGCATTTATTGCCCTCCTATTTTATTTTTTTTACCCTAATCTGTTAGGCACAAGAAAGCAGGAACAAGGATAGGGTGCAAAAGCACTATATGGGTTTATTCCATGCAACCTACACACAAGAATCTGATCTACTAATCATCCATCACCTTCTTTTAACGCCCCATAATCTCTTGTGGGGTGGAGTCTGGGCAACTGAATGGAGCTGAGCGTTTACTGGCCAGATGCCCTTCCTGTCTCCAATGCAGAGTTTTGTTCAGCAGATAAATTTTCGATGTGCCCAGAGAGATAAATATATGCCTCTGCTTAGGATTGAACTCACAGACTCCTGATTGTGAGATGAGAGCTTCACCTCTAGGCCACCGCACCACTAAAAGAATCTGATCTATTAATAGTCAAGGCAAATTGGCACCAGATCAGCATCCACAGGCTTGGGGGGGAGAGGAGGGAAGAGGCTGGACTAAGGTTTCTTAAGGGGGCGTAGTGACTTCAAACTGATGATGCGTTTGACCCTGCCCTCAGGCTCAGCCTGGTCATCTTCTACATCACCCTAAAAACAGATCTCCCTTTCTGCAGTTTTGCCAAAACAACCAGTTTCACACCATCTCTATTCCAAAGCAGCAAGAAAAAAAACCATTCTCCTCATAAACTTCGCCGTGGTTATCTCAACCTGTGCCACGGTGCAATTTATACACTCAGGCAATTAAATCCAACGTCTTGCATTCATAAGACGGAAATGAATCTTACTTCCATTCCTCTGGTGCGTGTCCTACTTCAAATTTCTCTCTCACGTTGGAGACCCCCATGTCCAGATGCAGCCAGTGAACTTCCTCGGACTGTAGGTGGCTAAGTCGTAAACCAAAGCAGGCTACATTTTTTACTTTGTGACAGTCCACTATCTTTTGAATTATGCCCTAAAGATGGGAGGGGAGAAAGAATAAAATGTTTATTTAGTTTGACAGGAAATTGTGTTTTATAGTTTTTCTGAGTACCTTTCAAATGCATATTTTGATATAAAAGGGAATGACGTAACAGAATAAATGCTTTGCATAAATTGTGTCTGAAAAATATGGTTTAATAATGAAACATTAGCCATAAACATTCATACATGACCTTGCAAAAACCGAAGTTATCACGCGTTTACACTGAAAGATGGCTGAAATTTTAGTTCCTTGTCCAATATTAAATATTATATCTCTGGCAAGTGAATAAAAAATATTAAGAAAGTATAGGAAGTCACAGTGACTAGAACGACTAGAATCCATGAGACAGAGGAAAATGTAAGAAACTTCTACTGCAGCTTCATGCAGAAAAATGGTGGGTTTTATTCAGCTTGCACTCAGTAGTTTTAGTGATTTTTATTTATTTATTGAATGTATGTGCCACTCAAGTCACTATCGAGCGATGCTGGGTGGCTTTGGGTGACATACAGAGGTGGAAAGTAATGTTTGCCAAGCATGATGACTCATAGTAGTAGAATAACAGAGTTGGAAGGAACCTTGGAGGTCTTCTAGTCCAATCCCTTGCTCAGACAGACCATTTCATGGATGTACTAAAAGAACCAGCAAGTTAAGGACACCATAATACCATAAGCCTGGGTTTCAGGACACCATGTGATATCTCTTTTAGAAACAATGCAACTTTGCAAATTGTAATAGCTTTAACCCAATGATCTGAGAGGCTGACTATACAATTTTTCAAAACTGTGCAACACTATCGCAAACCTGACCTTTTCCTTATAAAGAATTGTCCTATAATCGATATTCTGCAATGCTTTTCCTACTGGTGATCGCAAAAAAGGATAATAAAATGTTTATTCACTTATTTATTTGTTTGTTTGTTTGTTTAATATGCTGCCCATCTCCCTGATAGGGCAGTTCTGTTCAAAATGTTGAACTATGAGAAAAGAGGAAATTAGTTAAGATGAATGGTGCTTCAATATCATTTCTACACAGTGTTTGTTTTCTAGCTTAGAAGCTGCAAAGATTAATCAAACAGAGTTTTTTTAAGAAGCTGTTTATTTTTAAATAAAAATATCTAAAATAATACTATCAGGTACTGTTTTATTATTCCTAAAACGCAGAAGCTATTCATCACCTCCACATCTTCACTGTCAATCCTAAGGCAAATTGGAATTGGAATGTTCTTAGCTTTAATTTTTTCATATAATTAAATGTTTTCAAGGGGCAAAGGGGTGTTTAGCAACTTTAAGACTTGTGGACTTCAACTCTCATATCCCTCAAGTCTCAGAGTCCATCCATAACAAAGGAGAAACAACTAAAGCACTCAACATCTGTGTCACACAGCCAACAAGTTACTTGGCTCACCTCGTGACAATGGCTTTCACATCAGAATCTCTAAAATGTTTTAAAACATGCAGTCCACTCACCCAAACATCTGTGGCATCTCCATGTCGGATAATACTGGCCCATGTTGTTGGTTCACTGTTACTTTCAAAATAATGGAAAACCTTCAGGACCCGTTCCATTGTCCCTGGAGAACGTTCCACCCCGGAGCTGAGGTGTGTTTTTGTGCTTGAGCTTGGTGTATGATTCAAGTTTGGATCTAGATAAGCTGCTGCCATAGTTTTGCTAGATGCTAGGTATCTGTCATATTCTGAAATGGGAAGAAAACAAAGCACACTTCTCAGTCTCACAAATCTCCAGAGCCATCTTAATGGAAACATACCGTTCATATTCTATAACAAATCAATATCTCCAAAGATTAGTTTCTATTTCTAACGAATGCCTTTTTAAAATTAAACAGTAAATCTCATCGTGCTCCACACTAAATTTATACTTCATTATTGCGCTACAATTTCCAAAAGTCAAGACATTATTAGGACTGGATGCACACAGTTTAATGGCAGGGTTGTCAGAGACAAAGCATTCTAGCGATCAGGGTTATCTCATCTTCACAGGAATGTTGAGGGGAGAAAAAAAAATGAAGTAGAAATTACTATTCAAATACATCTTGCTAGGTCAGGGGCGTCAAACTCAATTTCATTGAGGGCCATGTCAGAGTTGTGTTTGACCTCAGGGGGTCGGGTGTGGGCGTGGGCAGGGTGGGTGTGGCCAGCTCAACGTCACTCGTCAAGGCTCCGTTTTCAGCCGCGATGGCCTCCTGCAGCCCTCTGCAGTGAAAATAGAGTTCCCAAGTGACATCAAGCTCCATTTTTGTTGGCAGAGACATCGCGAGCTGGTCCTTTGCGGTTTCTAGGATGACTCCGTGGGCTAGATCCAGCCCACCGGCCTTGAGATTGACATCCCTGTACTAAGTTAACCTAACCTTGCTTAGGTTACTTGCATATTTACCGAAATGGTGGTTTTATTGACCATAGTCTGGGCCTGCTTCAAAATGAGCACACATCAAAGATGCATATCTGGTTTTTAACACTAAGTCAAACCAAATGAGTAAACACACTTTCTTGATTTTAAAAGCCGTTCTGAACAGTCTAAAGGTACATC